CTAAAAATCTTCTCCCCTCTTTTTCTCGTCTATTCCCCACGCTCCAAACTCCAAATAAACGATGGAACAGAACAATGACAACTGGGATAGAAATATTCATAAAAATTTAGTGCTGATGGCTACCCGGTTGGACCCTGGTGACTAGTGGTGCATAACGTACGTCAATCATATATATATATTTTTTAACAAAGATAATAATTAAAAAATTAGTTTGAATTAATTATTAGTGATTGGGGATTGAATCTCCCAAATCAGATGAACATTCATTTCCTTAAATAAGGCGTGCGACTATTTAGTTGCATTTGATGGAATTCACGATGGTAATAAAGTTTGAAATTTCAACCACCTCACCCAAACACTTAAAGTTTAGAATTGAACAATTAAATTTAAAAGTCGGTTCATCGTATCCCAGCAACATGCATATTGTCTCCTTTTAATTTGTCCCCTCCTTTTCATCTCTAGTTGAGCAAGTTAGCATTTCCCTATTTGACAATGAGCGAGTGATGACCCACATGATTAGCAGCCATCATAACAAACAACTCCTAAGGCATATTAAGCAAAGCAAACAAATGCAGCTAGAATGTCCTGGCAAGGGAAGATTAAACACGCGGATAAACTGGCATTGGGGGTAAATAAAAGGGTGAGTCTAATTGAAAGTTTGCAATAGGGGGTGACCAAAGGGTGGAGGAAAAGTGGGAGGTGGAGGTAGAAACAATGTTGTTAATTTCGTTTCGTATCAACCAATAAGATCGGTACGTATCGGTTTTTTCATTAAATTGAAACGGTATAAAATTCAATTTCGTTTCAGTCAAATTTTGACTATTTCAATCAAATTTTGGTGTACTGGTTGGTATTTCGACATACCGACAGTCTTGACCAACACTTTTCTAGGAGAAGAAAAGATCCTCCCCTTTTATCGTGGCTGCCGAACCCCTCTACTTTGGTGATTATCGGTGATGAAGGTGGGGCTGTAATGATGATGAGACGCAAGAAGATTGTCAAGATCGGAGTCCCCAAGGGGGCTTGAGGCTAGATCTGCTTCGTCTTTTCTCTTTTTTTGTTTTTTTTTTTTTTGGCTACTTGGTGATTGGTGAGGGTGATGGCAATGAGAGTGATGATCAGCAAGAGGATGGTGAAGATCAAAGGTGAAAAAACGGAGGTGATGGTGGTGGTCGTAGATCTGCAAAAGGGAGAAAAATCGAGAGGCTTATCTCCT